TTTTTGAAATTATATAATAAATAATAAACGAAAGATGTTTAACAGATGTTAATAAAAATTAATGTAGTTATAAGCTAAGGTACAGGTTCAAAATTTCCCAACCTTTTTGAGTATTCCACAAAAAGACTGTATAACTTACGATTTGGCAAACCTAAGCAAGGTATACTTTATCATATTCCCAATTGAAGTTACTGCGTACACCTCGTCACAACAATAAAGTAGACCTCGTAGATGTGAAACAGTTTCTTCAAAATAGAGATAATGAAAGTTTTAAATACCCTATGCCAATAATCACCTTCTGATAAAAAGAATATACTTTCAATTTAACATCATCCAACGAACGGAAGTTTTTTATACGTTACAGTCTCTTTGCTAACTTTTTTGCACAGTTTACCTCCCCTAATGTTAAGAAGATATCGAACTAGACGAAATTGATCGACGACCTTACAACTGAGAGTCTTCGGTTCAAAGCATTTGCTTTAGACTATCAAATCTTGTTTTTCTAGATAAAAAACAAAAGGTAAAAAACTTGGAAAGCATGAATAGGCGACAAAATATCCAACTAATGCGTATTTAACTGCCATCAAAATGTTAAACCCCTCAGACAATTCGAAACAATTAATCTTTTCCCATCATATAAAACATAAACGTTCTTCCTAAGAGGCATACGGCATTTTTAGATCTAATTTAAGCAAAACTGATCCAAAAAGCTGCTCATTATCAAATTCCTTGTAGATAAAAATAAAAAGCCGGAAAAAACTTCTTAGTCATCTTTATTAATTTTTTAGTTGTTATTAGCTGACAGTATTAAAGACGATAAGCTTTACTACAGTTTACTGGCGTTATTCCAAGCAGAACAAAATTAAAATTAATGGCATTCTGAAAAACACTGCCATTGACGCCAGCATTTACAGTTTCCGCTGCAACTGATGCCAACAATATGAATGATTCTGTGGAACACAACTCTGTCGAAGTTTTCATTCCGATATTGTCGTAGTTTTTCTTAAAGCTTTCAATTTTAACACTATCAATCTGTTCCGTGCCAAGATTCAGAAGAAAAAAATTTTTTTTTAATAGCTATTAAAATAAACTGGTTTGGCACAGGTGAATTTGACTCAGTGAACATTGCGAAGCGCAGGCCAGCAATAAATTTTGCCATATTTTTTGAGAACCATTTGCACTTGTTTATTAAATATTTAAATCGAATGAGGAAGCAAAAAGTAATCATTAATATGTGAAAAACTACTGATTTAACTGATGTTGGAGTTATTGTTGTTGTAGGTAAGTTTTGGCCATATATGCAACACTTTTGGATGTTCCAATGTTAGTAAGATTCAAACTGTAACCTAGTAAGAAATTTGTTTTAAATATATATAAACATAACGCTTTTCTTGATAGGAAAGATTTTTCGAAATATTTAAACTAAAACATTACTTTTATACAAAAGTCTCGCTTGTGCAATTGTTGACATTATGCCTATCTGTATCGACGAAGCAACTAACAGCAACTAACAGCATCGTTTTGGCTGCTGTTAAATGTTGCAGTTGTTCCGAGTTGGTTGGCGAAAAATTTTTTTTTGATTTATTTTATTTATTTGTCATTAGAGAAAATGTAAAAAATTGCAAAGTTATGGCGAACTTTAAGGTTTTTGTTGTAAAATAAGTGTTTTTAAATATGAAATATTATCGGTACCCCCGATCAAATTAATACATTCTATGAAATTTTTCCAGCACTGTTTTATTTCAGTTTTTATTTCCTATTTTTTTTATTTTTCATTTTTTGATTTAATCTGACATTTTTACAGTTTTTGGTGCCAAAAAGTAGACTAATAGTGTTTCTCACTGACTTTTAAATTTTTTCCGCGAAGTTTCTGTACTGTAGTTTTATGAAGGTTATGTAAGGGTGTAATGTCGCCTTGGTTTCTGTGAGATGAATATTTTTGCAGTAAGCCCTAATTTCATTTGTGAAAGATTTTTACAATATTTAGTGTATTTTTGTAACGTGAACATTGGGAAGGCTTGTTGTTGAAAGAAGAGAAAGACTATTCTTTTAGTAGTTGTAAAGAATTATGGTTTTTTTATTACATTTACGGGATCAACTTGATGCCTTCATAACCAGTCACTTTTGACATTAAATTTTCACTTAAAACTTTGCTCTTGGATTTTTTTTAAAAAATATAGTTGCTTTTGTTTGTTACAAGAAACACAGCTTCTGACTTATTGTAAATGTTAGGAGTCAACAAATGGTACGGCGAAGATTAATTTAGGAATCTGTCGTCAGTTTCCTCCCTTCTTCTACTGTAGTTGGACTTGTGAAAATTGAAAATTTTGATTGTCAACTGGTCAAAATCGAAAAGACTTTTTCCAGCATTTAATAAATAGGGATTTGACACGATTACCGTTCAAAAACGTTTACGCATTGGAAACTACTGCCCAAACACCATTGGCCTGTAACAGACCTTCCCTACCAATCATTTTACAGTTACTGCAATCAGCTATATAAAACTACATTACTGAAGCTTCCATTAGCTCTGTTTTTATCATTTTTGTAATTAGTAATTGTTTAGAAGGGGAAAGAAAAATCTACGACAATTTACAAATTGCGGCATGTAACCTCTCCTGATTTCTTGCATTTTTGTAGATTTTAGTTGATAAGATAGAATTTATAAATAGCGGTACAATAAGAAAAAATTTGGTGCCATCTTTATAGTTTTATAGTATAGAATTATCTTTATAGTATAGTATTATCATTTACAGTAATAAATTACTATTATTTCGTGGAAAAAATTCATTATTTATTTTACAGATTTTCAAAGCAATTATTTCCCAAGTGTTTGTTGGTAATGATGTTGGACAAAAACTTAAGACTTTAATCAAACAGTATATAGATGGCAGTTTTAATTTAGTAAATGATGATATTCAACAGGATCAATCACAAAAGTCTAATATTCAGAGGTCTGTTAACGATGATACCACTTAGTTTTTTAATATTGATTAAATAATGCTTGATTATAGATAGTTTCCTGCTAAAATATATAACATTTTTCTGCACCCATAGAATAACAGATGCGGAGGCACAAAAAAGTATATATGTATATATTTTTCCTTTTAATATATATATATTCGATCAGAGTTTTAAAGTGACTTCAGAAAAATAAAATTTAGAGGAAAAAAGGTAGAGTAGTCAACGTTAAAATGTTTCGACCTTTATATTTGTGTCATCAGATATCTCAGCTTGGAATTGACAGTTTATTGTGCAGCTCAAAAAGTAAGAGATGTGGTAAAAAAGCTGCTTGAATTGTTTGATGGCAGAAGACGGAGTAGCGGACAAGAATTATATGTGAATTATATGAAAAAAAAAAATTTGGATAAATGTACTTGGAATTTTTGAGTGTTACGACGGAGAAGCAACAGCGTTCAGCAAATAGCAAAAATATTGCCAGTTTTGTTGAAAATTTGCCAACTTGCAAACTTTTTTGGTAAAAAAAAAAAAAAAAAAA